CCACGGAACAAATCCACCTCGCATCTTACGGCCCGACTGTACTGGACAGCAACAAATACGGGTGGGTGGACTTGTGTTGATTTCTTTTCGTTTGTCGTCGTGCCGCAGTGCAACAGACTCTCCTGGAGCAGGCCAGTGCTGAACCGGGCCGTGGCCGCCATGTGGTGTGACGATGCCGCAAGCATTGACACGGTGACCGGCGTGCACACGCACAACACACAAACACACGAGCGTCACCAGACACATTTTGGTTTTATTTCATGGAATAAGGAAAATTTTATACACAATGAGTTGCGTTGACTGACATAAGCTTTTGACGATCCTGCAAAATGTGACATTTTCTTTCATGATGTTTTTTTTTTTTTTTTTTGTGACTTAGTTGTAAAAGGGAGCTTAGTTGTACAATCCTTCCTGACTCTCAAACTGGACAAACGTGTGCGTGCGCTTTGCTGTTATTGTCTTACCTCGCTGGCAACCGCAATGCTTCGTGTTCACATTGGCTGTGCTCTTTCCAGAATGATGACCCCCCCCCCCCCACAACTATTCCATCATATTAACCTCTCTCAATGACAATTCAGATAACAACGATAATAATAATAATAATAATCATTTATATTAAGAAGAACGTGTTGCAAGACTGACAGCAGAATGTTTGACGCCAACAAGTGCATCTGGAAATGTGTTTTCACTCCACGCTACCAGGGTGCAGAAGTTAAATAAAACATTTGACAAAACCGAGGATGAGACTGGGAGGTTCTCTTTGTGTGTGCGTTTTTTTGTTTTTGGTTTTTTTTTCCTGGCATGAAAGTCAGCGCGGCCTCTTGCGTCCTACACAAAGAGAACGCAAAAGGCCACGTTGCAGCGAAAAGAACGGCAAGCGTAACCATTATGTTGATGTTTCTCAAACTTGGGCCCCGGCAAAAAAAGTTGACAAGAATTTCTTCGATCAGTTCCAAAAGATCGTACCTACACAATGGGACAAATAAGTCCGGCCTGCATTAGCATTGCGTCAATTAAGGGTGACATAATCAAGTAAATCAGAATTTAGTTGTCCAGCAAAATACAGGAGTACCTCTACTTACGAAATGAATTGTTTCTGGAAGGAATTTCTTAACTAGAAAAGTTTGGAAGTCGAGACGCGTTTTTCCATGTTAATGCCCTAATCCGTTCCAAGGGGCGAAAAACAAAGACGCTGCATTGACACACATCTATCTATTTATCTACTACATGCAAGGACACAAACAGCAGAGATCCCTCTTAGCCAATGGGACGCCAGGATGATGCTCGGTAACAGCCAATGGCAAAGCAGCTACAAGTATGTTGCGTTCAGGAAACTCAGAGCTGCGAGTAGCAGCCCATACTTTATTTTTACCTTTCGTATCTTGAAATTTCTTTCGTAACAAGAGGGAATATTTTCCTGTTGGGACGTTTCGTAACTTGAAAATTTCGTATGAAGAGATGTTCGTAAGCAGAGGTAGCACTGTATATGACATGAGTAAAGCTTGATTATTTTTGAGAATTAAACGCAGCTTTTTTTTTTTAGGGGGGGCAGTGTCCAACGCTGCTTTTGGGAAAAAATATATATATTTTTTAAAATAAAAAGCTACGTTTTTTTTTTTTTGTAAATAACACCAGAATACATTTTTCCCCCATTAAACCAAGAGACTTTTATCAAAATATTACGAGTATCTGGGAAATAATTCTTTTTTTTTGTACCATGTCACCTTTCAATCCCTGCGGCATTTGAGAGGCCATGTCGTCGTCTTGGTGTTGGAAAAAGGTTGGCATGGTTTCAGTTCTGCAAATCCACTCTACAAAGTATCGAAAGTGTGCTCTCAGTTTTTCAGGTGAGCGCCGTAAACGCATCAAAAGGCCCTGAGATATTTGTGCCACAGTCAGCCCCCGCCAGATCGCCCATTTTCAAGGATATTTTCCCAGGTGAAGGTATGTGGGAGGGGTAAAACCTGTGCCTCAGAAGGTAAACGTAAGTTAACCGTCCAATTCACACACACGGGCGTGCATATGGGTCAGACTGGGGTGGCCGTAGTGGTCCCGGAGGTGTGTTCGGGCGAGACCGCAGGAGAGTTAGCCTGGACCTCCCTGCGCAGCTCCTCCACCCTCTGCTCAAGATGGACCCGCAACAGCAGGAGGTCCTTCAGTGTCTGATGCTGCGCCACCTGCAAAGCCAAACACACATCGAGACAAATTCTTCCTTTTCATTCTCCACATTGCCCAGCAACAGCTGACAACACGTTACATACAGACCACGTGTGCACACATGTGAATGAGAGGAACAAAATTCACGTCAGGGAAAATCTAGGTCCCGGAAGGGAAAATATTTTCGATGAATCTCGCAACGATTCTCAACACAGAAAGAGGTGCGCGCGCACACACGCGGTCTGTTCAGATGGAGTTGATGATGCAACACCTGGCCCATTTTAGAGACACTTTTCATGGGCGTGTATGCTAACTAAGGCTGGATAAACATTTCGCAAGGAGGGGGACTGTGAGACATAAGCTTCGGCACCCAAGTGGCAAATGTTTTTGCTTTTTTTTTCCACTCAAGTTTCTCCCCAAGTGCTTGATTCAAACACGTCAGGATCAACAAAGCTGAAGTCCACTGGCTCCTTGAGATACGATCGCTTTGACGGTGGATTTTTTTGAGATATGAGCTATCGCACAACCATTCTTTTGTGTTGATGCGAGTGCACTTCACACCTCCGCCGCTAGAAGGCGCCAGCACATTTCATTCCATAGGGCCATCTTCAATTTGCATAGTTTCCTTGCAGTGGAAGGACAAGAACAGTAGGTGGCGCGAAAGCGCCATTAAGCTGCTTTTGCAAGTGCCAAGAGAAGAAGAAGGGACAAGCGAAAGGAATAGTCGTGTTTTGCGCTGCCATTTTCCGTGCTTGCAACTTATGTGGAGAGCAAATAAACAGTCTCGTTGTCTGTTTTGATGCACTAAGATGCTGTTGATTACAATTTTTTTTCCTTCTGGGGAAAAAAAAAAAACGTTCCAAGAACAAATTCTGTGTGGCTTATTCGCATTTCCATTCATTTCAATATGCGAGAGACAATTTGAGATACTCGTCAAATTTGTTCCCTAACCACACTTGTAACTCAATGCAGGGCACCACCGGATTTCTCCAACATTGCAGCTGTGACAGCAGTCGCATGCTGACGAGAAGACAAGAGCGCACGTCAAAAGAGGTGCCCACCTGCGGTCTCATGCGAGGATTCCATCGTGCGTAGTAAGCCGTCCACAGCTCCAGATGCTTGCAGGACGCTAGCGGGTAAAGCACGCTGTGGTCCTCGTGGACGTAAAGCGGGTTGCTGAAGTCCTCGGGTTGGCTGAGCGCGACACGAGCAAATAAGTCGGCTAAGACCGGAAGGTCGCCAATGAGGCGGTTGAGAGCATCTCCGCTTACCTGTTGATGTAGGACCACAGGGACGCTGTCCGGGTCTGGAGCTCCTGAAAGAGGACAATGAGAGTTAGCGAAGCGGCGCCGTCGGGCTGCGTGCTGGTCGGCACTCACCTGAGCCGTACGCTCTTGCTCGCTATTGCAGAGGAAGGTTCCAAAGAGGCAGCTGTACAGGTGGTCCAGCAGCGTGAGCAGGAAAAGCTCGTTGAACTCAAACGCCGCCGGGAACTGGAGGCACAGATTACAGAGGTCACGGCGGGAAGCCCGGGAGACTTTGTTAGCTACGCACCTGCCGGGTCATCTGCCACACGCAGTCCACGAACTGAACGAAGAGAGGCGAGCGCTCCGAGTTGCTGTGGTCGTCGTTACCGTGGCCCACCCGCTGATGGATGCAACGCGCCCAAAAGACATAAAATCATCTCAGTCACATTTTTTTTTTTAAATGTATAAAAATACATCTGCAGATGAGTGCCAATTAAAATCTCCAACACCATTGTGATGACAAAACTAATCACACAAATGTGACTCAACCCAAAATATTTGCAGCTTGGAAGCACACACCTCGGGTCAATGTTGGTGTAAGGTAGAAAAAGGGGCACCATGTCAATTGTCATACACAAAACGATGTCGAAAACTATTCTGCTCCGGGTTCTTTTTTCTTCAGGAATTTAAGTCGCTTTTTTGTGGGGGGGAAGTCGAGAATAACAGTTTATTCAACTGTTGTTTTAGTTACTGTCATGAATTCTTACAATGTCTCTCTTATTTATTACATATGAGAATTTGAAATTTTGGTACATATTTTAGCAAGTATAATGGAAGTTGCCATGTTTGATTTGCTTTCGCGGGCCACATCAAATGACGTGGCGGGGCCAGATGTGGCCCCCGGGCCTTGACTTTGACACCTGTGCTTTAAAACAACATAAAAACGGTCACCGAACCGAGCGTGGTTGCAGCGATGTGTCGCAATAGTTCTTACGGCAGCAAATTTGTGTCCAAAGCTGATCCACTCCTTCTCCACCAGAACCTACAAGGAGAAGAGGAGGAGGATCAGGACAAAATCATGCATGTGGCGTGCCCACACGGGGGGGTGGTAGGCGGACCTGGAATCCTCGGAGCGTACGGTAGTGGGCGTCCAGCATGAGCATGGTCAGAGACGTCAGCTGAGCCGTCCTGTCCCAGCCGTCGCTGCAGTGGACCACCACAGACGTCTTTGCGCGTTCCAGCTTGGATGCCATCTGGGACGCTCCGCACAGCAGCAGCTGACAAACGCCCACATTGTCCCCCGCCATGACGATTGATGACAATTATTCTTCCGTGTCTGTTTTGTGAGCGTACCTGAATGTAGTGGAGCCAGTGTGTGTGGTCAAGGTTGGAGTGCCAGCGCGCTTGCTGGATGTCGGGGTACAGGACGTCCTTTAACTTCCTGAGGGCCTCGCGCATCACGTGGATGTTCGGTATCTCCAGGAAGTTGAGCTCCACGTTGGCGTAGACGCTCTCGCTCTCGTAGCCGCCGTCCTTCGCCTGCGAGCGCGGCCAAGTGTCATTGATGCACGTCACGTGTCGGGGGGGTGGCTTTACCTCATTCAATGTCGGCAAATTTGCACTGATCACAATCTGAGAGTGCCGGTGATTTTCAGTCGACAGAAAGTGAAAAAATGGCCACCGAGCTTGATGACAACGGGGTTGATTTTGCTGCTTAATTCATTTTCTGCAAATGCAACATTTGTCAGATTGCTGTGATATGACCAGTGGGGGCACATAAAATGTACGTTTGACTTGATTTCCGATTTGAAGGGCCAGTACATCAGACGCATAATCAAGTTCTCCTATTGGGGGGACCTTACGGGGAAAATAAAATTATCAAACATGATCTTGGCACTGAACGTCTTGGAAATGAATGAGTTAAAGTGGCTTGGGCTAGTGCCAGGCCAGGAGCCACTTTATCTGGACATGACTGTCCTTGCCCACGTGCCAGGGCATTTTGGTACCTTATATGGCAAAAAAAACTGCAAAATCCGGGTTACCACTGTGCCATGTACGGTGTGCAATTGGCGTACTTTGTTGCTGCGGGCAACGCTGAATTGTCGGGCGTCGAAGATGCTCAGCTTGTGGGAGTGCGCGTTGGCGTCCATGATGGTCTGGAGGAGGCGCTCGTCCTCTTTGCAGCGTCGGTCGGTCGGGCCCACCAGTGGCTGGCCGCAGCGCACCAGGGCCGCGTGCGACTCGGGGTGGAGCCAAGAGAGCACCTGTCCACGACGACGATAGAGCATGCGCCATTTTCAACACGTCCAATTGCCAGACGAGAAATTTCAGCTCCTCTAGGCTCATCAGGACGGCACTAGTATGATTATTATTAATATTGTGACCTTCAGCTGAGAGTGGCTATAAAAAAATTTTTAAACCTCTTTTAGACCAATACTGACTCATTCTTTCTGGCAAACTGCCGCTCAATGCGAGTTGAGCCAGTTGCCATACTTGAAAAAAAGTGTCCCGTATGCGTGTGTCTACAACGTGCAATGAGTGCTGCGCTACGAGCCCACCGGAATGCGGCGCTTGGCTCGGAACGCCGTCACCCGCTTGATGTCCTCGTCCGAGACGTTGGCAGGGACCACCAGGACGGCGGGGTACGTTTCGCACAGCTGATAGGACGCATTCAGTCGGCTGATGGTCCAGCTCTCGTTGGGGAGACCCTGAGGGGTGCAGAAGAAACGGTTTCCCTTTGAACGAAGTTGGCTCGCAAAGCACCGCTCGAGATGCCTCACCTGAACCCTGGCTTTCGAATAAGATAAACCCAGAAAGCCATTTGAACGAAGCACTTTTAGGTCAAAGACTCACATTGGATGCGTGAAATATGACAGGACTCTCATTAACGGAAAGACTCAGCGTTCCTACCTGCCGCCGCCATTCTGCCAGCGGCTCGTACACCTTCCAGCCGTCCACGGGGAAGCGCTGCTCGTAGCGGAAGGCGAATAAGGTCTGCGTGTGCACAAGGGAGACATTAACAACGATGGAGACGGTGTTACAACTTCACACCTTTCAATCTTTCAACCGACCAGCTGGCGGGACAGCGGGAAAGCTCGCGAGGCAATTGTCTCCGCCACATCCGCGTGGTCTGCCGTCATCTTGTAGGCGAACTTCAGGCTCCTCATGTCCTGGGCGGAAACATCAAAGCGTTGAGAAACGAGGCGGCCCCACGCGATCGGCGATCGTTACCTTGCAGACCAGCTCCAGTCCCTCGGTGTTGTCACCTCGGTCGGGGATGCCCACCGTCTCCAGTCGACTAATGACGCCCAGGTTCACAGCCAGGATAAACGGGCAATCCTGAATCCAGCCAAATCATTTTAAAGTGGAAAGCAGAGCAAGTGAATCAAACCAAAAGCTTCTGAACGTGTTTCGAAAATCAATCTTTTATCCAGAGGCTCCACTTGTGAAGACCTCAGCCAGGACACGCCCGCAAAGCATGAATGCTAAGGTCGCTTTTGTAAACTACAGACTGGAATTTGCCAAGAAATTGCATGCAATTGCTGAGACGCGGACAAAGTGAAATGCTGTAAAACTACGTGAAACATGGGGACATTTTGAAATAATAAATTGGAGGGAAAATTTTTTTGATTTCTTTCATAAACAATTTGAAAAAGTGTAGTTGCTGAATAACTTTTCGATACAAGATCAAAAGTCGTGCGCTACCCTTTCCATGCTGCTGAAGTAGAGCTTATAGTCAGTGATGGTCAGAGTTCCGTTGAGCAGACCCCTATAGGGACAAATGTATGTCACGTCCTCAACTGCACAAATGGGGGAAAAAGAGGGGCAAAAATAAATAAACAAATAAATAAAATAAGGTTGTCGGTCACAAGAAAAACCAAAGTGTTGTTGGCCGAGCATTGGAAACTCACTGGTAGTCTGAATTTTTTCCCCTGGCAGGAGAGGAACTGCAGTCATTTTTTCACTCATTTTCAGCCTTGGTGCCGCAGGGTTCTGCAGACACAACACAGGAGCAGCTAGTGAGCCTCTTTTTGCTTGTAAAAAGTTCTCTGGAGTCCAAAATGTTTGAGAAGCCATGCACAAGGGAAATTCGAAAGCAGCGTTTAGAGAAAGGCCAGAAAAAGAGAAGCAGACACTTGCCAAAGGGTTGTCGGGATGCTCGGCGTCATCGTCTCCGCGGTAACGGAGACTCTCATCCGTCGAATCCTGACGTGTTTGCGCGTGAGTGGGCCGAACGGGTCAGCGAAACAGACACATTGAGACGGACAAGAGCAAAGAAAGCAGGGGGTGGAGGGGGGAGCACGCGTTCCGGTGCAGCAAAGGGGGCGTGTGCACACAATCGCTCACAACCGCAACAACAATCACTCACTTTGCGTTCTCCCTTGGTGACGACGTTACAGGCTGTCGAGATGTGAGTGGACAAAGTGGCGGCGATCAACTGTTTACACCACTCCACGTGACCACCAGATGGACTAAAAACACAACACACACACACACGCGGGCGCACGCACGCATTAAACGCTGCTTTTTGTGACACGCGCAGATTAAAAACACGTTTACATTAAAACGAAGCTCTCGCGACTCACTCGCACACTCAAACAATACGCGCGTGCACGCGCAGACACATTACACAGGATGTGTGCGCCCACGGACTAAGCTAGTGTGCTAAACGTTTATCAGGTCGGTTTTCGAGTTCGACCAGCCACAGGCCGCGACTTCTCTCTTCAAACATGAGTAAATGATTCCAAAGGTCACAAGGCTGTGTTGGGGGGTCGGGGGTTAATAATGAATTGATAGACTAAATAAAGCGATGGAAAAAAAGAAGCGTTCGAAGCGGAAGTAAGTGAAATGTCATCACCTGTTTGGCTCGGGTCCACTTTCACTGCTGGCGGAGGCCGAATTTCGAGCTCCATTTTGGCCATCCCCGGTTCCGGCTCCGTCCGCCATCCCGACCGAGCGATGGATGCTTTCGCTTCTCCCTCAGGCGCGGGTTTTGGGCCGGGGGGGGGGGGGGGGGGCGTAGCTCGGTTTGGTGTCGTCTGGTACGACGACGGATCAGGTGCAAGTCAAGCACACGAAAAAGCAAACAGGAAGCAGTAGAAAAGAAACTCCGGGTTCGACGCGATGTCTATCGGAGGTGATGATGCGGGCAAAAATGATGCGCGAAGGTGACAGGCGCTTTGTCCCGACTGACCCAGAACGCAGCATCCCGCTCACAAACCACGTGACAGACACACGTCACACGTCCATCTTAAATTAATTTAATCAGTAATATTTACAGAACCAAGCAATTGTAGAGAGGATTGATGGCGCTCGTTTTCTTCTTCCCTTTTATGAAAAACGAAGAGCAGCAAAGGAAGCAAACCACAAAAGACACCTCAAGTTAAGTCGAGTAGTATACAAACGCTTCCCACCCAAAAAAAAAAAAAAAGATTAAAAAAAAACAACATTCCCTTCATTTCCCCCCTAAAAGTAAAAGATTTGACACTCGATAAATGATTGTGTTTTACAAGTCGCGATCTTGGGAGCGCAAAATAGCTTTGGACTGAGGTAATCACATCCTGATCCTGGTGCTTAGAGAAAAGAAGCAAAGAACAAGAGATTTTCATCTCAAGTGGATTTCCCCCAAAAAAGCTCAAGAAGGCGTCTCGATCGGCCGCATTTACCCTGTTTGGGAGCTTTTCAGGACGTCCGACGACTTCCAAGAAGAGAACTTCTCCCTCTACATGAGAGCGAATTGACGAGAAAGGTGAATGACGGTATACATGACGTACGCTTGACCGGGACAGTTTAACAAGCCTTAATATACCTCATTGCTCACTGTCCAAAAACAGCTATCAATCGGCACGAAAATATATGTGGATATTTTCACTTATGCCCAATTCTACCTCAAAATATCATGACGCATACTTGTATGTATGGACATTTAACCAGGTGGGACTGGGCACGAGTTGAGATACCCGCATACATTTTGGTCACAATTTCTAGACAGTATTCAAACATAAAACAAGGTTTAAATTTCTTTCCATGAAACAAATCTTACAGCAGTGGTCCCCAACCACCGGTCCGCAGCCCGGTACCGGTTATCTTCACGACAGGAATTAATACGAAGACGTAAACATTTGACTTGAAGGTGTAGGTAAACACATTAGATGAAGGTATTTTGACAAATGAAACTCCTCACCATCGATTGTGTGGCAGTATTTCCAAAGTGGCGTGGAGTAAATGAAGCCGTTGTCCTCAAGAACCACCAAAACAAAACTCCTGAATCACTTGAACAAGTGCCGTATAAGTAATGACGTGGAAAGCATGAAAACGGCAGCGGTTTTTAGCCGCTACGAAATAGCCGCGCGGCCAGTGGAACAACGCAGCGATCAATTGTGTCATCTTTTCATCACGCATATTTTTTTGCCAGTCGCGATGATGTTAACGCCATGTAGGATCATATTTTCAAAACTGTTGTTTACATTTTGAAGGTGGCTTCATTATTCCTGAGAGTCCATTTTTTTGGAGTTCAGTGTTGTTTTGTACTGTTCTACATTTGTTGTTACTGTTGATTAAAACATGTTTTCATTTTCTCTGCTCGTCTTTTTCCATTTTGTGGTGAAAATATAATTCCAGTGAATAAAATATAATTACTGTCGGGTTATATTTTCAGAACGGATGTTTTAAAGCCGGCAATTTCAAAACAATGTTAGCCGGCCCACAAAAAATCTAATTGTATGAACCGGTCCGCGCCGTGGAAAAAGTTGGGGACCACTGTTTTAGACTGTTCCCTTTAGCACTTTGGCCTTTTTTGGGACATGGTGATTGACGGGCTTGCAAGAGCCGTACCCTGTCGAGTTGACTGAAAAGCAAAGCGTGCAGTTTTGGAGCCTCAAAATGTCAACGAGGCGTCCCGCGTGAAGCGCGGAGGGGAATCAAGGCACACATTTGAACGACACTCGAGCATCCGACCAGCTCGGCGGTGGTGTCGCCGATTTGCTTTTTGGCTCTGGAAACGACCGTTATTGCGACAAAGGACAGCAGGACTTCAAGTCACGGACATTACTCCTGATGGACCAAATGCAAATCGGAATAGCTGCGAAGACATAAGGAAAAGTGTCACACGCCATTCTGAACATTGACATTAGCATAGCATCTCTAGGGAGGCTCTTGAAACGCGGGAAAACGTCTGCGTCTGACCAAGACACGGCGACGTGTCGACCGTCTCGTACGCTCGCTCGAGATCCAAGACAGGAAATGGCAACCGAACAGACGAGCGGCATTCCAACCTTTTCGTGTCGCCATCTTTTCTGCTGCACCTCAACTCTGCGTGCTCACCCCGACTTGAAATAGTGTGTTTTTGGTGCGTCTTGAGTCAGCACGCTGGCTTCATGACCTGTGTGTGTTTGCAAGCCCTTGGAATAAAAGCCAGGAAACGTCTTTAAGGCTTGTGTGTTTGTGTGTGTGTGGTGACAAGGCTGCATGGTGCCAAATTGCATACAACTAGAAAAAGTCCTGTTAGCGTACTTTGTTAGCACTGCACAGACACACCAGCAGTGAACGCTGTGCGCGTGTGTGTGCGTGTGCGTGTGCATCAGAGGGGGTCCCTCAGAAGGGTGTGTGTAGGTGCGTGTACTGCTGCTGCTGCGTGGGGGAAGACGCGGATGACGACGAGGTGTTGGCGCTGGAGCCGCTGTTGGCCAGCCGTGCCGAAGGGGGCGCCGACGAGTCGGAAAGCTGCAGCTCCTCCAGCTTCTTGATGTACTCGTCGCGGAGCGCCAAGAGCTCCAGGTAACGCTGCTCCACGGGACTCTGCTGCTGCCGCCCACACAAACACGCACACGGACATGATGGCGTGCGACACATATGCACAGTGGAGTTCTTGATGATTTTATCTGGCGTGCGCACGCGTTTCCCACCTGCTGTTGGATGCGCGGGTTCCAGCGTATGTAGTAGGTGACCCACAGCTCGAGGTGGCGCATGCTGGCAACGGGATAAAGGACTCTGCCCGACTCGGGCGTGTAGAAAGGGTTCAAATAAACGTCCGTCTTACTGTTGACCAACGACCACAGAGACACCGTCTTCTGCCGCAGGGCCTGGCAGTGAAACACAGGAGCACGCTCAGTCGGCTCCTTTTGCGGGCCGACGCTCACGCGCGTCCCCTCTGTCGTCACACTCACATTGTGCTCTCGCGCACTCTCGCAGTTGTAAAGGAAGGTCCCGAAGCGACAGCTGTACAGGTGGTCCAGGATGGTCAGCAGGAGGCGCTCGTTGAACTCGAAGGCCGTGGGGAACTGCGGGGACAGCGCCAACTATATTATTTTATATTGTTTTTCAATATTATGTCAAGTATATTTATTACTTCAAGTCACTGGCGTCAGGCGTAAGTAATCCTTGCATCTCCAAAAGTGTCATTTTTCAGGCCTCCTCTCACCCCCCCAAAAAATCATTAACATTGCATGTGTCAGAGAATAACCCGTTTTCAAGACTTTTTATTGGTCAATTATTTGATAGAAAATAATTTGGACCAAAGTTTTGGATTGAAGCCAGCAATATGTACCCAGGGCTAAAAAGCAAAACGTGGAGTCGATGGCCAAAATGTGCAAGAGCTTTCACAACAAAAAACACATTTCCAGTCACAAACTGCGATATGAGTCGCCAGTTCAACAGCAATGCCAAAGCTGTTCCAACAGGGTATATATAGTTGTGGGAAATAATTTTTCAAAAAAATCATTAGGCCAAGCCAGTTTATTCACTTTCTTGTTAATTTGAAATGACCGCTATAACTAAAGGGTAAATTTTTGGGGGCCAAAATAATGACATCATAAGAGCTGACTTGAAGACTTGATATTGGTTTCCTTGATAATATCCGCTCTCACTAGTATATTGTCCTCACAAAAAATGCTTTTTGGCATTCAAGGTTTTCTCTCTGTTGGTCACATAATACACATTTAGTGGTACCAGGCATTCGAATCTCCAAGTAATTGAAGAAAACTAGGTGAGGTTGTAGACATATCTTGTCTGTGTGTATTTCGCTGCAAAATGAGACAGGTGACACACGCACCTGCTTGGTCATCTGCCATATGCAGTCCATAAACTGAACAAAGATGGGCGACCTGTCTTGATCGGCATGGTTCTTGTCACCGTGACCTATCCTCTGCACGCGTGAGCACACACAGACACAGAGGTTTGTAAAGCCAAATGAAAATCCACTGGAACATTGAGATGAACGGGTTTAAAAAAAAAAAAAAAAAAAAAAAAAAGTTCCTTACGGATGCAAACTTGTGTCCAAAGCTGACCCACTCCTTCTCGATGAGCACCTGCAGAGACAAACGTGAGACGCGTTTCATCACCGGCGGGACAAGGCGAGCCGACTGACCTGGAGTCCTTTGAGCGTGCGGTAGTGGCTGTCTAGCATGAGCATGGCCAGAGATGTTAGCTGAGCCGTCCTGTCCCAGCCGTCGCTGCAGTGGACCACTACAGAGCTGCCGCCGGACACTTTGTCTGCCACTTGGATGGCTCCTGACAATACAAGCTACACACGCACCAACGCACACAACACAAAGTCAACCCTCTCCCTCTCTCTGCCTCCAAACAAGAGGACCATTCATTGAACAGTCTCGTGGTGACAATGCTTCAAACAGAAATAGTGAATTGGAACGGACAATATCCTATTGCATCCATCTTTTGTCTTGTTGGAAATGACAGGATCCATTGTTGATGAATTTTCCATTGGCTAGGACACCAGGAGTCGGGTGATGAACTCAATTTGCATTCCGAGGCTCGGGCAAGGTCGATGCCACTTTCTCCACACAGGCTCGCTACCGATGAGCTTTAGCTGGCTAGTTCAGCGAAACACGTTGCGGAGTTGCTCCCGTAAACATTCCCTCCATGGTGGCAAATAAGGTAAATTTCTGACAAATACATCATCCCTTGTTCTCACCAAGGGATGATGAGGAATAATTAACTGAGGATGGAGAGGCAATGCTCACAGTTAAGCAAACCTAAGACTGGCATGTAAATGTAAAACAATGCAATTAATGGCTTCCAGTGCACTATTCACAAAAGTCTGACTGGCAGAGTGTATCCAACTTTGAACAGCAAAAGTAGCCGTCAATTTCCAAAGTGTCTGGAGAGAAAATTATACACAATAACGCGACAAATCTAAACAGAGACGGAACCGGAAATGAATGACAACAGTACAGAGTGTTGATTTTGGCCATTACTCAGAAAAAAAAAGATCAGAAAGCTGAATGACCTTGATGTGTTCTAGCCAGTGGGTGGACTCCAGGCTGGACAGCCAGTGGGATTCCTCTACGGTGGGGTAGACGATGTCTTTGAGCTTCTTCAGGGACTCCCGCATGACGTGGATGTTTTGGATGTCCAGGAAGACCAGCTCGGCGTTGTGGTACTCGTCGCCTTCGTAGCCGCCTCCCGTGGCCTGCGAAAGGAGGTGCTGAGGTCAAGGGTGAAGGGGAGGAGGGGGCGGGGGGGGGTAGAGCGAAGGCGTTCGGGGAAGCCGAGCGACCTTGTTGGCCACGGCATTGACGTTTGGGCGCGCGTCGTAAATGGTGAGCTTGGCGGTGTCGTTGGCGTCCCTGATCAGGTCCAGGTAGCGCTCGTCGTCCTTGTTCCTTTTCCCCGACATGCCCACCAGCGGTTGGCTGCAGCGCGCGATCACCGCCTGGTTCTCGCGGTGGATCCAGGACAGGACCTGCGACGGAGTCGGGCCAAACGCAACATCAGGCGCTTAGCGGCGGGAAACGCCCGTCTTGACTGCCACACATCAACTCACAGGGATGCGGCTTCTGGACCTGAAGGAAGCCACTCTCCTCAGGTCCTCCTCTTTAGACTTAAAGGGCACGGCCAGAACGGTGGGATACGTGTCACACAGCTCGTAATTCTTGTTGATGAACGTAATGCGCCATTTGTTGTTAGGTAAGCCCTGAAACACACGCATACAATGTCATGCATCCATTTTTAATCAGCATGATTATTTTTTTAATACCCCTTTTCCTGGTTTACCTGCCGCCTGAGCTCCTCAACGGGCCTGTAGACGCTCCAGCCATTTTCTTCATACTTCTCCTGAGTCACATATGCAAACAGAGGCTGGACAGAGGACATAAAACATCGGAGAGTATTGACATCAGGGAGGGACGTCACATAAGAAAAATAAAAGGGAGAGAGCTGGCCGCTTCACCTTGGGTTTGATGCTAAAAACTATTTGATACGTTTGAGGACAACATATGCTCAATGTATTGAAAGGAAAAAAAACCCTCAATATTTGGATATGTGAACTTTTATTCAAAACTTTCATTAAAAAAAAAACAACATTTGCTTCAACCTTTTTTTTTACATTAAAAAGTATTTTGAGTGGGATCTTGTACAAGTCGTATTCCTTTACAAAATACAAAATAATTGTGACAAATTTGGACTTTTTTTAAGATTAATTTTTTTTTTAACAAACAGAATGAAATTAATTTAAAGTACAATATCATGTAAAATTCTAATGTATTTCCAATTTAAAAAACACCTGACAAAAATTTGATGAAACTTTTTTTAATTTGAAAAAAATATTTGAAAAACCTGTGACTTTTGTTACTATTCAATTAAATTTTTTTTTTTTTTTTTTTTTAAACGAGTGCCATCTGAGCTTTTTTTCAATAAATGTTTGCTCGGCCATGTTGAATTTTTTTTTTTTTAAGAATATGCGGCGGGCCGAGAAACATGCAGCAGGCCAGACTTTGGACGCGGTTAATTTTTCAACATCACTGTGTTCTTACCAGGCCGTGCGAGATGGGGAAGGCATGTTTGAAAAGCAGCTCAAAAATGTCTCTTCGGCTGTGGCCCTCCTGCTTCAGGGCAAACCTCAAGTTTCGCATGTCCTGCCAGAAGGAAACAATCAAGAAAGGTGAGAAAACCAACGTGGGCCCAAAAGTCAACATAGCTGAGCGACAAGGACCTTGCACGTAATGTCCAGGCCGTAGGAGTTTTCTCCTCGACTTGATGCCCCGCCCATTTTCTCCACGCGACTGATGGCGCCAAGAGGAACATCCAGTGTCACTGCCACATCCTGGACAAAAAAAAAAAAAAGTCAGCATTTTTCCAATCATGAACCAAATGCCAAGCTTAGTCATAAGATACAGTCCTTCTGAGTGTTCTGTAACCAAGCTATACTCATTTGTTTTTCCACTAAACGTCAAAGGAAAGTGACAAACAGCTTGAAGCAGGCACACTTTCCCTCTTATTTGGATAACTGTGCGAGTGATTCTTCTCGTTTCCTCAAAATGACGTGACGTGACATTTTGAGGTAACTTTATTAATTGGAATTAATAAATAAAACTGACTATAGACTGAAATACAGCAACACTGTGATCTTACTGCATCCGAGCTCTTGAAGTAGAGTCGGTAGTTGGTGATCAACACTTTGCCTTGGATGGCGCCATTGAACGGACAGATGTAGATGATGTCCTTGTCTGCGCAGGAAAAGAGATCGTCAAATAAAATGCCGATCAATGGAGAGCTCCGGTCTTCCCCCACCTATGATTCTCTCTTCTCCGGGCAGCAGGGTGACATCAGCCAACAACTCCATCTTCAGAGACTCTCTGGAGGGCTACAGGGACAAAGGTGCACGTTTTATTTTTTTATTCCTCCCCGACCTATTTCCACAATGGATCCCACTTACACTGGAGATGTGCGCATCCAAGACGCTGGAGTTGTAGACAGAGACCGGTGAGGCCATCATTCACTTTTCCACAGGCTGAAGGACACGAAGACACGCAGAAGGCATCAAGGAGTCTTTCACAACGTTTCTTTATCTGAGGTAGATATTTTGTGTTCATTGTTGCCCACTGGTGGGAAATCAGTGGCATCGGGGACGTACTGTACACGTTCCTGCACTTCTTCTAGATGTCAATGGCTTTGATACTTTGGTATGTCCTTTTTTGACATCACGCTCATTATACCGTGCATTATTGCCACCAAATGCACAAACTGGAACAACATTAACCTTAAAGCAGACTTAACCACAAGAAGTGCAGGTGCCATTGCCTGCAGTGGTATTGATTCTGATTGTATGGCCAGTACGTGTGGAGGTGACGACCATTTGTTCACTTTCTGATGAAGGACTTGTCTTGCTCCACTGCAAAGCACAACGGCGGAGGCTGGCAAACCCAACTGCGCATGTGCATTCATTTATTTACAGTGGCGTCTTGAATGTACCAAACGTCACAGCATTTGGGCAAACTAAGACTAGTCACTAAAAGAGAGACTCGAAGAAAGATTGTTAGAAAGGAAACCGATACACAACGTTACATTAGAAACGCAGCCATATGATCATTGTATCGGTAAGACAATCAGCAAAAGTGCACACAACAACTGGGAGGCCCGCGGTACCTTGAGAGCTCGATGGCTAAACGTGATTTCTGGGAAGCTTCGACATCTTGACGCAAAGGACTGCATGCGGACTTCGGTTACGATTGCGGCCATGAAAGCGAGAGCCGAGAATTTTCGTGTGGGGCCCGCAGTCAACTTTTCCAACTTGTTCCTTCCAGCAGGCACAGCTGAGCAGGACTTTACCAGGAAATAGCCGAGGCCCAGGCAACCAGCAAAGCTCGTTCCCCGAAAAACGCTCTGCATTTCTCGCATACACTCGGACCGAACGTCAGCCAAAGTTTTCCGAACGACCCCCGAGACGAGGTCGGCAGCTCGCGTCGCGACCAAACGTTTGGACTCACCCGCAAAGCGCGTTACTCCCGTGGGGGGCCGTCGAGCTGTTGGCCGCCAGGAACTTTCTTCAGCCCACCGACGTCATGTGCCGGGCTGTCATGGCGCCCATTGGCTGCTTGTCAAAAAAGGGTGCTCGCGAGGAATCCTGGGAAATGAAGTTCCTGCGCCATCCTCATTTCCTTTACTTCCGGCTGGCAAGCAACGGTCCGGATGTCACAACCGAGACGTCTCCATGGTTACAAATGAAACGACAGTGACACGAAGGACTGTTCTTTTAGCTATCACTCACTACAAGTATCCGCTATAAAGTCACTTAGCTCTTTTGTAGTGCTGTTGGAATGTTTCGCGAGTTTCAGCCAATCCCTACACAGTGCCAAGAGCATGTCCCCCTACGCATCTCGAAAAGTCGTCAAAACATCCATCCCTTCTCCAAACCGCTTATTCTCACCCAAGATAAAAATCCCCCCCCACAGTCGTGCCTCTCCATATCACACTTTGCTTTTGGAAATTTCACACATTTTTACTTTCAGTACATCGCATGAGCTTGCGGGTATTCGTTTTCCACACGTACAGTGACTGCAGACTTGTGTAAAAATAAAAAGAGTGTGGCCCTGACTTTTAAAGCCACAAAAATTCAAAGACACACATACTACACTACTGTGGAATTTGAAAATGGCAACCCGAACGGACAAATACATTACCTGCAATTCACATGCTTATTTTGTTTTGGTATTATGCATAAAGCTTTGCAAATAAATGGTCATCTGTTTGCATATTTTCATCACATGTGGGGGGTTTTGAAAAAGGGACTTCTGTAGAATGCTTTTACAGTCGGAACTTATGAATGATTTCGAAGGCAGGACTGTGTTCAGAATCATTCACTCATTCCTGACTCCTGAATCACTACAAATTGATTTTAAGTGGAGGAACTATCTGGGGCTCATTTATACAAATCCCTATGTAGTGGTGAAGAAGTAAAGGGAATATATGTGACTTGTTGTCATTCTGTTGACAGCGATGGGAAGAGTGCTAATGAAACAAATGACTTTTCCAATTGATTTGTCCACAGCAGCCTGATTGCACACATTGATGGGGACATATTGACACCCACCGTACTATATTGGCAAATGCGCATGGGCGTCCTTGAGATTTGGAGCCCGGAAACAGCACAGGAAGGATAATTTTCCAGTGTTCCAATGGTGTCGATAAATAGTTGTCAAACATTTTTTCTTTTCCATGCATCATGATACACCCAAATTAAGGAGTGGGAGCTGTTGCGTTCAGGCAGGGATGGGAATTGATTCTGCAAAAGGGAACACATGAGAAACTGGAACACTCGATGAAGGCCAAGCCAACATGCTAACCTCAACTTTGTCGATAACATTTTTAATGTTTATAGAAAAAGCATATTGTCTTGCTTCAATAAATTGCTACGTGCTCGAAATGTTTATCTGTTGCTATGGTTAGAAAATACAAATTTTTAACAAAAATATAAGCGGTCATTAAAATGATATGTTTACAGTTTTGAAATGATAATTTTGTGCATGAACTCATATATATACAGTACGTGTATACACACACACACACAGTATAATACACTCAATGCATGCATAATAATTGTAGGTTTGGAGGCCAAATTTTCTCACCCCTCTTCGCTCCACCATACAGGAAATAATTATGTTGCTAACATTATTACCACTGTTGTCGGTTTTGCTTCTCTCTTTTTGAGTGGGTCAATAGTAGCTTGGAGGGCTCGTAAAAGTCGTTGAGTATAGCAAAAAATGTCGTTAGGTTGGCAACACTGCAGACAAGTCCTGAACGTTGCTTGTGCTTTAGCTTTTCCACATGAGTGCAAATAAAATAAAAGGTTAACTTTCAAAATAAAAGGGACGCATATTTTATGTTTTACTTAGGCAGCTGTCCTTTTCCGGTCCTGTGAGGAGCTTCTGAAGAGAAAGCGCAGCACTCCTGATTTGTGTGAATGCCCGTGAACAAAGCCAAATGAAGGGGCTCTGAGTTTATTTACTTCAGGGGTTCAATTAAAAACTGAGACATCCACATTCGTTCATTTTTTTTCCGAGAAAAACAATTTTGCTTGCACTTTGTGTCATATAGGCTACCAATTACTTGAGAGGGTGATTTTGTCACCATGACTCATTATTTGTTTAAAAACATAGACACGTGCATGTTGCTGTTATAAGCGCATACTGCAAATGTTGGATTTTATTTAGCTGACCAACATGAATGCAGGGAAATGTAGTTCTGTTTCACTTAATTTGTCTGAAAATGATTCTTTATTCATTGGAAAGGCTCCTTGCTGCATCGTGACAATTACGTTCCCCTTTAGCATTATTCCAGTTTTGGAGCCATTTTTGTTAGTCGGTGCACCGTGAGGCATTTCGAATGGGGAAATTCATGCCCGGGCTCAATGTGGTGAAAAGGCTCCTTTGGTGGGATTGTAAAACGGTGAGTTGGATGAGGAGTTTGTTGGATCGCCCCTTGGCATTCCGCGCACATGCAATATCCGTGAAAGAGGAGGGTGCACGCAAGAGGGGGTTCTGGCCCGCTCCAGTAAGTCCAGTTTGCTCCTCCAGTTGGCTCGACGCGGACAACTGGTAGGGGCGGGGCTAGAGTGCCTAGATCAGCCGCGGACTACGTCGCTCGTCGTCTCTTCATCAGCGGAAGGAAGCAGCTTCCACCATCCGCGACCTCCAGCATCCAAGGACGCCCGCCACAGGACGGCACGGCTCGCGCCGGGTTT